CTGGGCAGAAGTTAAGGGCCATGGTCGCGTCATGTTACGGTTGTACGGTCCAATCAAGCCACGACCGTCCAGGCCCAATCACGCCACGACCGTCCCGGCCCAGCCAAGTCACGACCGTCCCAGCCCAGTCAAGCCACGACCGTCCCGGCCCAATCAAGCCACGCCCGTCCCGGCCCTGTCAAGCCACGCCCGTCCCAGCCCAGTCAAGCCACGACCGTTCCGGCCCAATCAAGCCACGCCCGTCCCCGCCCAGTCAAGCCACGACCGTCACAGCCCAGTCAAGCCACGACCGTCCAGGCCAAATCAAGCCACGCCCGTCCCGGCCCAGTCAAGCCACGGCCGTCCCGGCCCAATCAAGCCACGCCCGTCCCGGCCCAGTCAAGCCACGACCGTCACAGCCCAGTCAAGCCACGACCGTCCAGGCCAAATCAAGCTTCGACCGTCCCGGCCCAGTCAAGCCACGACCGTCCCAGCCCAGTCAAGCCACGACCGTCCCGGCCCAATCAAGCCACGCCCGTCCCGCCCAGTCAAGCCACGACCGTCCAGCCCAGTCAAGCCACGCCCGTTCCCGCCCAATCAAGCCACGCCCGTCCCGGCCCAGTCAAGCCACGACCGTCCCGGCCCAGTCAAGCCACGACCGTCCCGGCCAAATCAAGCCTCGACCGTCCCAGTCCAATCAAGCCACGATCGTCCCAGCCCAGGACAGCTATCTCGGGCCATGTCCCTCTGACCTGTTGAATGACCAATCAGTGTAGCCGTGCCGAGAAAGTGCCGAGCGTCGCAGCATTATGATGTGCACCATCACACACATCCAGCGACCAGCATCGACCTATTGCGATAATCACCAATAAGCCACGGCGGACTCATTCTCGCGGACGAGAACATAAGAAGAGCCCCACAAAGTGAATGGCGGCGCGCGAGCGGACGCGACTGGCAGCCCAGGCCATATCCGGCTCAGCCTGCTGCGAGGCTCGTGAAATCGCGAGCTGTAGACTATAGCTCCAACAGTCGCCGCATGGCACAGCACACAAGTGTTAATGATCCGTAATGCAATAGGCAAGCGTACTGGTTCGATCGAACGAGCCGATACAAAAACCAAGTCATGCCCCACTAATTGCTGCGAAAATACACGCTGAACCAGGGACAACATCAGCCGCAGGGCGCATTTTGTCCAGCGTCCCAGCAATCAATGTCAGCGCGTTAAGCGGATCCCGGCTTCCGTGCATTACGGCGCCAGCGCCGGTCAGAAAGGCTCAGCCGCGGCCGATCCCGCGAAGGCCGGAGCCGGTCACATGGCCGCCAGCCACACATCCGCTTCGCTCCGACCGGCACACGTCTGACACGGACACGGCCGCCGACCCGCCGCCAGCCCACACTCCACAGGTCCCGGCTATTCCACAGCCTGCGGGGCCACAGACGGGCCGTCGCGTCTACAGCGGGCATTCGGCGGGCTGCGTGCGGCGGAGGCGTGTCAGCCAGCCATCGGCCGCCGCGCGCGTCACGCGTTCACATCGACCCCGAGCCGACCGGACCGGGAGCTGGCGGCGGCGCGGAGGGCAGCGGTGGAGCGAGGCTTCCCGGCGGCTTCCCGGCGGCGCCCCACGAGACGGCGGAGCGAGACCCGGCGGCGCCTCACGGAACGGCGGAGCGAGACCCGGCGGCGCCCCACGGGACGGCGGAGCGAGACTCGGCGGCGCCTCACAGGACGGCGGAGACCCGATGGCGCCCCACAACGCACAGCAGACACGTTTCATTCAATCAGAGCTCTAGCTGATAAACAGGTCATTTTTCGTTCCCGGGAGCTGACAAACACAACAATCTGTTCTCCCGTCCAATGTTCACTATTCGCCGCCCCCAAACCTATTACAACCGTCCCTCGAAAATGCAGCAGCAAAGCAGAAGTAAATTATGTTAAAAATATGCAAACAAAGACCCTGGACTTCTCTTGAACAAAAAAAATATACGATGGTCGTTGGTTTCATTGGCTGCATTCACTGGCATAAAAAACGTGGAGGGGAAGCAGGTGACCAAGGCCTTCCCCGCCACACTTTTTAAGGTAGGGGTAACAATGTTAACTGCCCATCCCCCCCACACACTTTTCTGAATTATAGGCGCGTTATGTTTGCTTTTGTCACTATCACTATTTCTAATGCCATTTTTTGTACCTTCTAAATCGTGCAACACGCTAAACTCAGCTTGCCGGCCGTCTGCATCAATACGTACTGGACAAAATGGCTTCATATTTTGCGCCCGAAAAACTCAACGCGCAAGAACACACGCATAAGACAAAGCTGCCTGGCGATAAGCACGCAGTCAGTCCTGCAGGTGGCAGCCGACGTCGGCCGGCAGTAGCCGGGCCAGGGACGCGGCCGCCGACGGCGAGAAGGAACAGGTCTCGGTGGGAGATGTACGAAAAAGGACCTTCATTCTGTGACAATTTAACGTCTTTTTAGGACAGCCCCTGGTTCTGGTGTCTTTTGTCAGATTGGATTTGAGAGAATTCTTGAGGCCTCCAAATTTGTTTCTGTCTGTGTCACGAAAACAAGTTTTGTGTTCTCAGAAAAAACTAGTCGAAATCTAAGCACTGTACGAGCCTGACCAGCCTAACCCTGACTATCCCAACAATGCTTAAAAAGCTCCTTGGCTCAAGATTGCATTTTAATTAGTGAAAGCATCCTTGGAATGAATCAGACGAAGCGATGCGATCATGCTCATTTTATCGATTCGAATGCACTGTCCCTAATGCACCTAATGCACTGTCCCTAACGCACTTTTCGTCGCCTGGAAATGCAGTGCAACGGGCAAAATCAGAGCACAATTTCGCTGGGACCATGCAGTGCTTTGGCTGTGAGAAAACGCAAAAAACTGGTATTTTAGTAGGCATTTAGTATTGTTTGAATTATTAACATTAATATTACTATCATCATTTTTATTACAACCTGTTAACCACCTTAAAAACAAACCGATAAAATATTGAATTGTTCATTCGAGCATTCAGTCACAATCCACGTCCTACACATCGCAGATCCACGTGTCAAATGACTCCTTCACAAACGGTACGTGAGTTTGTGGAATGAATTGGTATCCTGAGAATGGAATGCAACTATAAATGCATATATTAAGGTGGTAAACATAAAAAAGTCAGTTTTGTGAATAATTGTATGGCCTGGGCACCGTATAATCTTCCAATGATTTTGCTGAGATGTTGCCTGATGCGTATACGCATTCGCGGTCGTGACAAACACACGAATACCGCATAAACAAGCAGGCACACAGGCAAACAAACACGACGGACTCGGATTTGGTCACACTTGAATGGATGTATTCGTTCGCCACCTTCTCGCTCGATCGCTACGTCTGGAATATATCGTGTTTTTCGTGAAATATAGGGCGCGTTCGGCCGAAGGAAAATTATTCAGCGAACAATTATCTCTCCGATAATCATTTACGTAAATTCTCCACTTACGTTCGGCGGGTTCGTAAATTATCTCCCAGATTCGTCTTCCATGTGTCATGCATAGTCAACGGTCATAGCTATGCATGGAGAAAAAAAGCATCATCTGCCTTGTGTGGAAATTTTTGGCGATCCTCCCTAGGTACGGAAAATAATATGGGATAATTTTCCCAGATAGGCCGCGCGTGTTGACGTGTTTCCTGGACAAGAGGCGTATATCTCATAGCCTGAGCACTGCATAGGCTATATATCCCACAGCCCAATCCCATCTCTTGGGTATCTCATAGCATAAGCACTGCATAATCCCACCAAAATTATGCTCTGATTTTGCTCGTGGCACTACGTTTCCAGGCGACGAAAAGAAAATGCCTCGGAACAGTGCACCTCTCTCACTCACCTTTATCTCTCAAACCCGCCTTTTTGACAGAGTCGACAACTGTACAAAACAATCTGGGATAATTTTCCATGTTGACAGTGCCGAACGCCATTCCGGAAAATTGTCCAACACTCCGCATAATTTTCAGACATTATCTGCCGGCCGCATGTGCCGATAACCTCTTCAATCTGGACTGACGATTTGACTTTGTCACATTTTAGTTTATTAACCTCACTGCTTGCACTACTCACGCACATTCACTGATCACCGCAACTCTGGTTGAAAGACGTCTTGGTTGTAAAGACGTCTTTAGTAGCAGATGGGATAAATTTTACAAAGGCAGTTCAGCTTATCGCATATGCAGCGCGGCTATAGCAGCCAGTAGCCCGCATAAGCTGTGCAGGCTGTTGTCGTGCTAAAATAACTTTTTGTTTAAAAGCCGGTTCAGTTCTCATAGCTGTTAGATTCTAAATAACCTGGGACGAACAACAGAGCATTTTCCGGGTGAAATTCATCTCTAGAGGAGAAAAAATGTTCTCGTTGCAATTTCCACGATTTTTACTAGGTCACAAGATGCGACTCTTGCAACTCCCTGGCTACACCACAGCGGCATTGACTGCAGCCAGTGGCACCACAGTGCGCGGCAGATGCAGCGGAAGCGACCTGGTGACGCCGAATAACGCCCGGTGGGCACAGCGACAGGCGACAAACGCAGATAGCGGAGGACAGAGGTGTACAAATAAACGCTACAACACACGGTGGGGAGCGCAGCAAGACCCAGGTGGTGTCGCAAACAGCACGCATCACAGCAAAGCCCAACAGCTGGGCAGGGCGCGCAGGCAGTACAGTCGGGCCAACGTCCGAACACAGCACAGCAAACAAGGTGAACCAGTCAGCGCCACCGGCCGGCTTATCTTGTTTGCGAATGTAGAATTAGAGTCGACGGCGGGAACATCAAGGGAACACAGTGAGCAGCGGACACTTAGTCAAAGCGGCCGTCCACAGCAGCGGACGACAGCAAGGCTGCCAACATGACACCGCGAAGCGGCAGAGTCCACAGCACAGCGGCCAAACACACGACGGAGCGGCGCGGCGCACAGCGGAGCGACAGGGCACAGCGGAGCGACAGGGCGCACAGCAGACTCGGCAGCGGGTATCGCCGGCGCCTACCGAACGTGACGGCCGGAGGCTTGACCGCGGGGCCGGAGGAGTGCCGGCGGGCGGGGTCGGCCGGCCCGCTGGCCGTGCAGCCCATGACCTGGCTCCGGTCAGCGAAACCAAGGTCAGGTCGGGCCGGGTCACCTGTGGGCAGCGCACAGCCGCTGCAGTCGACGGGCAGCTGTCGGGCATCGGGACTCGAACTCGTCACGAACGTAAGCCGCGACCTGGCAGCACAGTCACACGAGAGGCTTGATGGCCCAGTGGTATGCTGGAGGCTTTGACACGGCTGATGCGTACAATCAGCCCCCAAACCACTCGCCAACAACAGCATTCCCTGCGTTGCCAAGACAGCTGAGAAGCTTTGGGTTACTCGCGAGTAAAGCGATGTTCTCAGCGCTACTTGGCTGCTCAGGTCAAGCCGTGACATAAACACGTTAGCATATTCATTTATATCTTATCTACACCACATATTTATTTTATATATATATATATATATATATATATATATATCATTATATATATATATATATATAACTCTCTATTCTCTCTATTCTCTATATATTCTCTCTCTCTCTCCCTCTTCTCTTCTCTCTCTCTCTCTCTCTCTCTCTCTCA